ATAGCAGATTTTGTGACGGTGAGGAGTGGGGATGAATATGGTAATTGTTTAAAAGATAGGGATACACAGCTACATGACGTGAGGAGGCTAACATTCGGATCGTGTTCAGTTCTTAAAAGAACGCATGCATACGATCCCTGAAACGGGTAACTTTTCTTTTAAAAAGCAAACTTTTCATCAGGTAAAAACTGTCTAGGCTGAACGTACCAAAGTTGAAAGTGTGGTGTAACTACGGACGATTATTCTATACACTTCTATTCATGTGTACCGGAATACTCACTTTCTCTCATATATATATATATATATATATATATATATATATATATATATATATATATATATATATATATATATATATTGATGTAACAGCAAATATAAATCGTGTAACAGCATAATTATCCATCCCACAAAATGTTTAATATCTATAAAAGCACTAAACTAATTGAGTTTTTTGTCAGGTTTTCTGATAACACGTTTAACTTTGACACTATCGTAAGAATCACAGAAAAAAACCACTGAGTTATTCAGTTAGAAAGAGAACAGGTTAAAATCGTTTTGTGTCAGCCCAACTGAGCAATGGTGAGCAGAAAAATATTATTCAGACCTTCAGTAATCGTGCCAACATTCATACTTTGGCTTCCATCTTCAAATTCCGTTCATGAATCAAGAGAATCGTGAAGTAGTTTAATAAAAGATGGAACAGTAGGAAGGAGAACTGGATCAGGTGATCACAACAGGAAGAACGATCATCATTTCAATTTAGAGCTAAAGAAATCAATTAGATCCAACTCATGTTATAAGACGTTTGCCACCTGCTTCTAGTTTCAGCTATGACAGTCCAAAGAGCAGTGAAAAAAGATATGGAAATGCAATCGTATGCAAAACCTGTGAGGCAACTTTTTTACTCAAAGACAGAAAGTTAGTAGTTTAAAGAGGACGAAGATCATCTCGAATAAGTTAGACAATGATACTGGAATAATTATATAAATAAACTATTTCAGTGCGTCATGAGTCCCAGATCCTTAGCTAAGTTTAATTAATGATGAAGATGACATTTTCCCCGATCGATTTCATCATGATACTTCTGTTAAGCTTATTATTGCTCAAATTAGAGACCAATAGTGTGATAAAAACCACAGAGAATTCCAGTAAGATATCGTTGATCATTTCTAAGTTACAACTGTTCAATGCTTAATCTAATGATATGGACAATTTTCCTGTTACATTCGGTATATATCCATGGAAAATGTTCAGACAAACTGTATTCCTTGTTTTCACCAATTCTAACATTCTCGGTTCAGACCCGCCATGCAACACACATTGTAGTGAACTATCCTCATTCTTTTTTATATTTCACTGGAGAGATGTAAGTTCCGATCGAGCAGCTTCTACATACGAACCGTACCTACCTTGAATAAAATAAATCAGCAGATGTTTTCCTTCTATGGTACAATATGCACGTAATTCAACAAAATTATGAACATCACTCTGGTTATTATGCATAAAATGTAAAATATTTTATTTTTGGTAGATTTCTTCCATAAAGGCTACAAGCTGCCTACTAGTTTTGAGGTATGATATATTTATAGGTTAAAATGCTCAGAATCAGATAAAGCTTATGTAAATATAAAATTGGAGCTTGAAGTCAACACCCAGAGGCGACAGCTTGTCTAATAATGAACGCAATCGTCAGGCCATCGCTTGATATAAAATCCCATCAATCTGACATATACTTAAATGATGGGACAAGATTAAAATTTTATACATATATATATATAATATAATATATATATATATATGCGCGGTACTTATTGGAGAAAGCCCTCAATATCAGTGATAGAGGTTAACATATTTAGTTGGATTTTGACGATGGCAAATAGCGTGAAACCCATGGTCACAAACTCACATCAATCTAACTATATATATATATATATATATATATATAAAGAGTACGGGTAAATGATTTTTAATGCTATATCACTGAAAGATTCAGAGTAGGAATAAATTATCATCTAATTTTAGTATTATCCACGTTTTATCTCTTGATATTGAGAATTATGATTACAAACACAGCTTGCCGTAAATCTTTATATTGCAGAAATAATATAGCCGATTTTTTAGCTACATATGTATATAAAGTCTTTCCTCAAATCTAAAATCGATATTAATACCCCGTGAAGGAGATTAAGGTGATCGGCAGATGATGCCGATCCCTGAACAGTATTTTGCATTGAGTTTCAAAAAGTTTTACAATGAGTATGTTAATCTGGGAAATTCCATGAGAAATTATTTTGAATGGAGACTAAGGTGATGATGTTCAAATACCTAAAACCTTTCGTTAATATGAAATGGTTACTTGGATTCTTCTTGGCAGACCTTATGCTTATGTATGTAAACATATATATATATATATATATATATAGATAGAGAGAGATTGTAGGTATGTATGACAAAATACACACTTGCACGTAGTAATAAATATATTTCTCCCTCTGGTGTT